TAATATCGATTTGCAGATAGCCCTCCTTCCAAAATAACCTTGTTCGGTCAGTCTCCTATTCACTGTTCTTCTGGATACTCTGGGCTGAAGGTGTTGCAAGATTTCTTTCGACTTTGATGTGTTAACCTGATCAAAATACGGTCATCTTGGGCAGAAGTTTTTCCAGCATCTACCAGTAAATTTCCTGGAACAATGTTTCCTGTAGTCCGATGACGTTTTAGGATTCTAGACACAATACACTGCGTGTACCCTACTGTTCTGGCAATGTCCGTTTGCTTCATACAATTTCTGGACAATCGAACAATTTGACATCCTATAACTTCTAGCACGGGACGAGGCATGACTCTAAACCAAATACAGTTAAATTGTCTGAACAAAGCGTTGATCTGTTTCGGAAAAGATTATACCAAAAGCACACCCGTTTTATATAAAACAGGTGTGTATGTGTGTTTTGACAAACAAATTCTCAAGACAACTTATACAGACCAGAATAACAACTTGTACTTGTTTGTCCGATTATACACTACCTTCTCTGTTTACTATTTACTCGGTCATTTACTCAATAACTACTCCATGCAGGTCGACAATAACATCAATATATAACAGTATGAAAACATTTCGGCCAGGACTGTATACAGTGTGATACATTCAGTAATGTTCTTTTATATAAAAAAAATCTGACATGATATATTGCTCTGCACTGCTGAAACACGAAAGGGTAACATAATTACCACATGTTACACGTACACAGAAAAGTTCGAGATAACCCAACATTATCAACTTTTTTCATGAAAAATTAATAACTTGTTTTGTCGGTACTGTACAAGAAAACACTGTGACACCCGTTTTATAAGCTTGCTGCAAGAACATAATACTTATCGGTATATTACTGGCATTTAAAGTAGTATGATACACTGACATTATTACATACGTACAGCGAAAAGTAAGTTAAACCAGTATGATATACTAATACGCAATGTCGGTTCCATATTTTATAACACGTGCAAGACATTAGGGAAATAATCTTATCAATCATCACTGTATCTAATGTTAGATAAATAAAAATAAAAGTTCAAATGAAGAAGGAACCCTCATGGAATTGGCAAGAATTACTCTTCTGTTATCATAATAGAGGTGATTATTATTAAGCAGTTCTATTATAAAACAAGTGTTGATTATTAAGCAGTTCTATTATAAAACAAGAGGTAATTATTAAGCAGTTCTATTATAAAGCAAGAGTTGATTATTAAGCAGTTCTATTATAAAACAAGGTGATTATTATTAAGCAGTTCTATTATAAAACAGGAGGTGATTATTATGAAGCAGTTCTTTTATAAACCAAGAGGTGATTATTATTAATCAGTTCTATTATAAACCAAGAGGTGATTATTATTAAGCAGTTCTATTATAAAACAAGAGATAATTATTAAGCAGTTTTATTATAAAACAAAGAGGTGATTATTAAGCAGTTTTATTATAAAACAAGAGGTGATTATTAAGCAGTTCTATTATAAAACAAAGAGGTGATTATTAAGCAGTTTTATTATAAAACAAGAGGTAATTATTAAGCAGTTCTATTATAAAATAAGAAGTGATTATTAAGCAGATCACAACACTTAAAAGTGCTAAAGAAGATAAACTGTTTTATGTTGTTGTATCAGATCTAAGCTTCAGCTATCACGTTAGTGTATAAGGAAATCATGTTGATTCCTTGGTAATTAATGCGTGAAACGTGTATGTTTTCACCTGATATTTTTTATTGTGTAAAAATAAGTCAACCTGATAGTTGTTACATGCAACTTGATAACACTCTTCATCATTAATCACGATGTATCCTCCTCAGTCTTATGCTTATCATTTCATACATTTTACCCTGGTCAGATAAACTGGAATTTGTGATTAAAACAAAATATTACCAAGAGTCTCATTAATCACGACACAAGTCACAGAACAATTTATTTTGTTCAATAATAATTTTTTATTATAAAACCTTGTTAATTGCTGTTTCCTATTAGTACATCTGCAGAAAACGTAATTTAGGATTTAAACACTGTAAGAAAATAATCAAGACTTTTAAAATATTCCAACAGAATAAATTTAAGTTAAAAATATTAAACTAATGTTATTCTCTGCTTACATAATCAAACACATACTTGTAAATTATCAAGTATGACAAACTGAATGTTATAATGTTAACCTTTCTTATATCATAGAAAAACGAAGTTCTATTAAAGTACAGACTTCCAATTGCCGTATTTATGTGTATTTCTCAAAAGGTAACTAAATTTAATTGCCATTTTTCTGTACAAACGTTACACTGAATCCATCATTCACTTACTAGCCCCGTTATATTTGTTATATCAAATATTTTTAAGTTATTTACAGAAATAACAGCAGATCAAGCTGTAATGCCATCAAAATCAGCATAGTTTACATTAATTGTAAACTTATAATTATTTGGTTAAAAGGCCCGCAGAAATAGAAACAACAAAAAGACGTGTGCTGAAACACCAATAATTAATTGTCTTTGGTATGAACTGCATGCAACATTGATTGGAAATTGCAGACTAGAAGCAACAGTTATTTATGCACGTTAGGCTTGGATGATCACATGAATCAAACTGTACGAGTACGTTATATTAAAGCGATTTATATTAAAGCGTTACCGTCCATGTTGCCAAGTCCGATCATGATCTATCTGATGAGCATGCTTCTTGACAATAGCCCTCAGTGTAGTTTCCATTGCAAAAGTCTTCGTCGTATGGCTGCCATGTCACAAGCACACCACACCTCCTTACATGCTTTCCGTAATCGAACTTGTGTACAAGGACGAAGGTTTCCCAATGATCGTTTTAACAGTCCGAATCATACAGATATCCATAGGCGCTGCATCCAGTGCCTTGACCGATAAGTCTTGGGATGGAAATGCATGAATACCCATTTTATTCTTCAGTTGCTTGAGATGCAACGGTTGAATCAATATGTCGTAGATGTTGTGTAACTGTGACTTGTGTCATTTTTCAAGAAGGATATCCTTCTTGATTATGTTGCATACCGTTGTCTAGTGCACGTGGACGGCTTTTGTAGCGGATTCTAAACTGTTACAAGATGCCGCACTTTACTCTTACCACAGCTGGGGTATGGTTTGTTGCAAGTGTCTTTCTGGGTGGTCCTGATGCCCCAAATTGATCCACATTCTTTTGTTTTTTGTCAATTCCATTAAGTACAAGGGATACTCCTGTCTTTATGATCTAAGTGTATGAATATTATCCGTTGAAAAGAGCTGTTACATAATCTTCCCAAAAAGCGATCAATTTTCGAGGGTTTCACACTACTTACAAACCGCTAAACAAGGTCAAAATATAGTTCTGATACATTCTGTTCTACCTCGACTATATATCGGCTGTGGTTGTCATGTAACTTGCTGATTTGCATGTTGAAGATAATTTAATATAACGTACTCAACCCTCTGTATTTTCATTTATGGTACCATCTACTAAACGATAATTATACAAAACAACAAAAGCTGAACATGCTGTCCATAGCATTAGTTTACACATGTATTAAGTATTTGTTCATTTTATGATTTTCAATCCACAATGACAAAAAATTAGATTTTTAATATGAAAAATACGGATATGAAATAGATGGAAAAAAAGAAAGAAAACGTCTCCTTTTTCTTGCATGGGAGAAAAGAAGTTTGGCATTGCTCTAAAAGATCAAACTGGTAATTAAAAATCCTTCCAACTATAGTAATGCAATAGAAAAGCTCAAAATCAGGCCACAGTCATTAGCCAACCAATAAAATTCAAGCATGGTGAACTGTTTGTGCTTGCCACATATAAGCGTGTTTCTATACTGGCTCAGTTCCAAGAAAAGAAGTTAGGGGATGCCTAAACAACATGGTACGACCTACTCTACTCGTTACTACCCTTGAATAAAAAATATATAAATATATATACATATAGACCCAATTTCCAGGTTTTGTAATAGATAATTTAATTGAAAAAATTACATTTGTCAACAAATCACAAAGGAATGAAGATGAACAAATTGTCATCTGTAAATGAGACTTAATATATATATATTAGTACAATCTAGTGTGCTATTAATTGAAATTTAATTTGGCACAATATTGCCAATTTGATATTACAATGAACTGTGCATAAATCCCCAACCATTTCTTACTCATTCAGCACGAAAATTTCAAAAGTTTTCAAGATTTGCACTGAGTTAGACATCCTACTTTAACTTTTACCTAGAAAACTTTGGGAAACATAGTTTGTACGTGATATTTTGTAATAGTGTATTATAGTAATGGTGTTTCAATGTACTATCTTTCTGTGAAACAAAAACAGTGAACTAGATTCTTCTTGTTCCTAAAATATGATGAGTCGAAACTGCTAAACGTCTTTTCATATTATTGTCGACTAATAAGATAAGAACAACATGAACTTATTTTTTTAGTCTGGAATATACCCCAAACGTATAATTGGGAATTTGAAAGAAATATGATGATAAAATTTTGCGAAGCATCAAATCGAAGGGAATAATACTGCAGACTTTTGTTTCTAAGGTAGTAATAATAAATAAATTCAGGTAGAATTCGTTTGAAAAAGTTTTATTATCAATGGAGGCAAATCTAATATAAAACCATACTAAACGTATTTCTTTGTAAAGATATTCTAGGAAACTTGGAACACTTTCTTCACTAGTGACTAACTCTTTGATGAGTCTATATATAATACCATCTTGAAAAGTTATGTCTGATTAAATGATAGTTTAACTCCAAAAATAAACTGCTGTAGATTCTCGTTTAATTGGCTGCAGAGAAGAGATGTGAAAAAATAGGAATTAAAAGAAAAAGTAAGTTTAACATTCTCTGGATATATGTTTCCCTTTCTTATTTTTCGTTTTAAGATAAGAATTTCACTTCGTGATTGTTGTGTCTGTTGGTAAACAAACATTACCTTGCTTGATTATGATAAAGTTGGACTTACCTGACAAACTGTTCCCATCATAACTACTAATTGATACTGGGGAGAGTCCATTACTCGTCATTATAGAAGAGCCGTTCATATAAGGTGGGGGAGACAAGGATCCTAGTGACATCTGAGAGGGGGAAGGAAGCCAGGTGCCGTCGTCCTGTCGTATTCGTTTAGCTGTGTTGAAAATTGAACCCCCACCACCACCATCCAGGGGACTACCTACACAGGGACTTGGGAGGCGGGGTTCTAATTTGACAATACTGGGGAGGTTGGGAGACAAAGCTGGTGGTGAAGCGTGACCAGCAACAGCACCACCACCGCTGGGCTCAGATATACGCAAGTTACTAGGTAATGAGACGGGCTTCATGGTGAAGTTGCCAGGATGGATGTACCTCTGCAATGATTCTTTACTGTCCATAATAGCAGCGCTCAGAAGAAAGTTATTAAAAGAGTCCGGGATGTGCAGTTTTCAGGGCCACCAGATGGGACTTTCCAAGAGTTGCTTCATGATGAATTAGTTGTTATTGTACTTGTTCTCTCACAACTTATCCTAATCCTTCTAACGTGGTACAGCTCACTAACCCCTAACGTTAGCTTTGCCGGTAGATCCTTATTCTTCTGTTGGGAAGTCAGCTAATGCTGGATCAAGAGAAAGCACCTGTTAATGAAAGATACAGCACAGTGAGTAGACATTAGTAGTAATTACACACACACACATATGGTCGAGTCTGCAACAGGTTCAACGACAGGAAAAAACTTTATTTTCATATAAAAACCTACGTACATTTACCCATTACGTTCCACTGCATCTGACAAGTTGAGTTTCTATCCATGCTTTTCTTGTGTAACAAAACATGCTTTTAAGTACACGACTTCCTAAATCTTATGTTTATGTCATGTATATTTGATATCAAGATACTACTCATTAAATAGTTATTTTATGAAACATTTAATTTTACTACTCGAAGAAACTTTGTTTTTCAGCAATTAACATTTAATTAATCCTTTTAAATATAAGATAAATGATGGAAGGAGAGTCTCTTCTAGAGTGTACATGTAACTAACTTTTTGATCTCTTACTAATATATTCAAGTAATGTTACTCAAATGTTATCTCAAAGAACATATTTTAGAAACAGTGCAAACAACTTACGTTCATTAATAAGTTTTGTTAGTCATGCAAAAAAAAAAAAAAGAGTTCCGGAATTTTTTGAAAGATCATTTATAGCTTATTTTAGGGGGCAGCGTGACTCGGTAGCTTCGCCCTTTGGACTCTTATTCAGATGGTTGTGAGTTCGAGACTTGTCCGCGTCACGCTGTTGTGTCCTTGACAAAGACACTTTACCCCACTTGTTCCAGTCTACCTAGTCGTGTGATGGGCTGTTAGTTGGGGGTTAACCTGCGATGGAATGACACCCTTTTAAGGAAGAGAGGAGTCTCCCCTCTCATCCGCTTGTGTCATTGGAACAGGAGTACGAAAGTATCGGCCTTACGTGCCTTGTAAAGGCACGGGTAGAGCTTCAACTTAGGTAGTCATCTACAGATTGCTTGAGGTCTGATAGTTAGAAATATGTTTTGTACTTTAGAGTTTGCATAAACAAATTTCTGTCAATTTTCAGAAAGTGTAGTGAAAACCAATCCGAAAGAAAGCAGTGTAAAATTTAAAGCAACAAAAAATCCCTCACTGATATTTAATCTGCTATACTAATAAACTGACAGCCTTAGTAATAAGATGTCCTCAGTACAAAACAGCTACGCTATCATTCAGTTTATATAACCAGAGTTGTACTTTTCTGTATACCTTTTGTTATATGAAAGGTAAACATACCATCAGAAAGTGCCGACGAAAAACAAAATAGACACTAATATCAGTCATGTGTGTACGAGGTTAGGCCTATTTAAAACATATTAAACGTTTTTGGATTAAAAGAACGTACTATATCTCTCCATGTATTTACACGATATGCCCTAACAACTGAAATGGTTAAAATAATAAAAACATTGTTAACAGAATAATTACTTGTTTGTAATTAAGCACAGAACACCACACGTTGTAAGTCCGCAGACATTCCCCTGTGCCACTGGGAGGCCATCAGAAAAAACTGCAGAGTACCTACACACACTATAAAACTATCGCATGCATGTCCATGTTTGTTTATTAACTAAATATATTTTATTAGCCTTCAAAACACCCTACATAACGGCCATTTCTGTTTTCCGTAATAAAATGAATAGCGCTTAAGATGAACAAAACAATTGATGGCAAATATGACAACACTGCACGTTTCCTTCCATTACAAGTCGTCAAGTTGATACAAGGTATTAAAACGAGTGTGTCTAGTCTATATGAATACACTACGTAGGAAATATCTTCACAATGCTTTAGTTATTAGTTCAGTAGTTGTTAATTTGCGTGTGAAAACTTATTGTTCTGTCATAACTTAACAAAACGAATGCTATTCCTTAAAGTGGATATTGAGTTTATCCTTACAGTACGTCAGTTCTGATATTACCATAAGGACTCGTTTCAATCGAGCAGACTTTGGTTATAATAACCCATATATTAACGCCTTTGCTAATACACATCTTACGTATACAAATAAATATATCATGAATTGTTATCAATGTTTTTATCCGTTAATGCTGCTAAATAAAACAGAGTATTGCAAATATACATGTCATTTCTTAGATGTACAAGAGATAACATATAAATTAAATTAATTTTTTGGGCTTGTTTGTTCATTAAAATGTCATTTATCACAGGTTTGGATTGGCTGTTTTTAACGCAGTTCTTCCTTTCGATTGTATTTTGCTTGACTTTTAAATTATTAATTTTCTATATATATATATATATATATATATATATATTATATATGTATACTAACCCCTACATAGTAAAGTAAATTTAAAAAAGTAACAACAAACTATGAGAAATTTACCCATGAGCACACACTGGTGCCTGCCTTTGCCTACATATATATTTCTTCCCCACTAAAATTCGTTAATCCAGGGGAGATTCCTATATAAACAGGAAACACATACACATGCACTTATAATTCACGTTTTCCGCCCGTGTTCTCTCGTTTCCCTTGTTTCTGATACTCGTTAACATATGTTAACAAGTAGCGCCTGTGTTCTCAATAATACCGTCATATACATGTTAGTTTCCGCCATACAAAATGAGATGTAGAACTAAAACATGAGATTCATTGGACTTTTTGTGCGTTGCTAGAACTATATCAATAGGATGAAAGTATGTTATACAGATTAGTATGTGTAATATACATGGAGAAATTATTTTAATGAACATTCTAACACGTATACATTGATTATCATCGCACTGTTAAAATTGTTTAAGGAAACAATAACATGTTCTGCAAAAACAAAAGAGAAGAAAATTCTTTGTTATCAACAATAATTTTCAAGGTTTAGAAAATAATTGATAACAACAAATGAAAGCATTATACCGCGGACGTTAATTCTACATCTGTTTGGTATATGATGCATAATTGGTCATAATGTACATAAGCCTTTTCTAATATACGGGTTTTACAGAACTCACGATGAACCTTAAATTCATCATTACCTTTATGAAATGAACATTCTGGAGAGAAAAGGCAGGGGGGGGGGGATGATATTTCACGAGATGAAAAACAAAAATCCAAAATATGATCTCTCCATAGTGATAACATTAGGCTAGAATACACGCTAGATCATGGGTGGGCAACCAAATTTTTTTCCCAGCCACGTATGTGGCCAGTCGATCACAGAAATGGCCACACTATTAGCAAAACAGAAGATTTTCGCTAAATAAATTTATTTTAGGATTCTAATGATAGTCAAGGTCAATTATAAACACAACGCAAAATTACAAAAAAAAATATATACTTTTCAAAATTACAAAAGCATGAAATTTAAATGAGCGATTTGGCATTCTTTTTCTCTGATCAGCTAAAAAACACAGTATCGATGATCCTACAAGTTGGCCACACATGGCCATTGGCCAATGGTCTGCCCACACAAGCGCTAGATGCAGGCGGTCTAATGAAGTTAACTATTCTTTCTATACATTCAACTCGCATTCTAACATACTTTATTATAATTTATATCACAGGCGTTGTTGCCGTTTCTATTGGGTAATTTGATAAAAAAGAAGAATAGAAAATCCAGTCCACTCAATTATAAAATAATTGTTCAACTAAAACTTGTACTAGTTAGCTTTACTAATGTTTACTGATAGATCAAAGTTTACAGTAGACGCTAACACAATAACTTCACGTACGATGCTTATCCTGCCTTTAGTACTTCGTTCAAACACAGTATTCATAAAATTGAGCTCACTAACTGCCTGACTGTAACTGATAAATTAACTAGCAAAATCGCTAACTCAGTAATCAATTATTTACTGAAATGGTCACATTAATCAGTAACAACTTGAACTTAACTCGCGTTTTATACTGTTCAAACCATTACTTAAACCTTCAAGGTAATTCCAGACGTTAAGCCTTGCGCTCATCACATAACCTTAAAACACCCTCCAGCCAAAATAAATACAAACATCTCAATTAAAGAAAAAGCCTACAACATATTTTCAAAACATTCCACGATTCAAAAAAAAACAACAAATCTCAAAGCTCATGGTTGAGAATCGTCCTTTAATGGCAGTTTTTTTTTGTTGAAAAAATTGTGGATTTTTCAAATGGTTTTAATCATTGTTATGTGCTAATAGTTATAGACTCGAGTTCTGTGAAAACTAATTTTTTTGTATTATACAGTAACATGTTTTGCTGTGGAGAGTAATGAAAAATATCCTATGTGTGATTCGTATGATATTACAGACCTGTAACCAATAAAGTCATGGAACCATAAGCAAATCGGTGCATAATTAACTTAAACCAATGATGTTAGGGTTACGTTTAGCATAATCTAAAACATTTTAATTTGCATAAATTAATTATAGAAATATTGTTTTATAAATAACGCACAACTCTGCTTAAACATTAACCAAAATGACGCAATAGTAGATGTAACCACGTGAATGAAAAGCCTTCCAGGTCCTGTAGAACGGACAAAATATTGGCAGACATTTGCAGTCATTCTGAACCAAGACTTAATACGAACCGATGCTCCGTTGATATTTTCTTTCTCTGTTTTAATATTCGTTCCTTTCGGTTACTCCCACAAAGGTACAAAAGGGGATATCTGTGCCAATTGTCCCTAATTTTGAACTGACTGAAGTCAACAGTACCAAACGTTAGCTCTTGGTCTACTCTAAACGAATAGTGCGATTCATCTGTCATTCTTATTATACACCGGCACCACAGATCCAATGTGCGGAGTGCAATTTTCTCCCCCTTTCCCCCTCTCCTCCCGGCAGCAGGATGCAAAACATGGATTCTCTGATCCACACACAGTTCGGCACGCTAACCACAAAGATATACCCAGCCCTACTCTGAATATATGTATTTGTGATTGCGTTACAATATTCAAGATCTGTACTGTTGTTTGAATATTTTGAATACGTTCAGTAGAAAAAGCAATACATCTACTAATACATCGTCACACATACACATTAAATCATTTAACCAAGAAAGAAAACATACCCTCCAACACTTAAAAATACCTCATGTGTGTTGTCCTTAGATGTTTATAGCATTTA